TCACCAGGAGGGTCTGAGTGCTTCACCAGGAGGGTCTGAGGGCTTCACCAGGAGGGTCTGAGGGCTTCACCAGGAGGGTCTGGGGGCTTCACCAGGACGGTCACCAGGAGGGTCTGGGGGCTTCACCAGGAGGGTCTGAGTGCTCACCAGGAGGGTCTGGGGGCTTCACCAGGACGGTCACCAGGAGGGTCTGGGGGCTTCACCAGGAGGGTCACCAGGAGGGTCTGAGTGCTCACCAGGAGGGTCTGGGGGTTTCACCAGGATAATCACAGATAAAGTGACATTCATTGGTAATCCGGCCTGGAATTGTAATCACTGATATCTCCACTATTGGATGTTCCCCAAATCATGCTGTGCCCCCCAGGGGAGTGAGGCTGGGTCCGTGCTGGTGGCCCTGTGAGTCCCAGGATCCTGCCCCTTCCTCCCCCTCCATGCTGGCGGTGTCCAGGACTAACTAATACCCACCATGGGGGATTTCTATGACCCAGAGCATCCAACTGAGTAAGTATCACCTCTGCCCTGCTCTCTGCAACATTGTATCAACCTGACCTCCCCTCTCTCTCTATGTGATATGGTATTAACCTAACTTTTATCATCCTGACCCCCCGTAACATTGTATCAACCTGACACCCACTGCCTCCCAGAACACACAGCCATCACCTGGGCGCCTCCAGGCTGGCAGTGTGTGTGGTGCGCCTCCAGGCTGGCAGTGTGTGTGGTGCGCCTCCAGGCTGGCAGTGTGTGTGGTGCGCCTCCAGGCTGGCAGTGTGTGTGGTGCGCCTCCAGGCTGGCAGTGTGTGTGGTGCGCCTGCAGGCTGGCAGTGTGTGTCGTGTGCCTGGGCGCCTCCAGGCTGGCAGTGTGTGGTGCACCTGTAACCAAAAACCTCTTACTGTCTTAACACTAATAATTAGACACAGGTAAGTTTGTGCAGAATTACACCAGTTTCTACCCACTGTTCATATCTAACCCCTAACATACAAAGCCCTGGAATTGCCTCCATGGAAGCAGTGCCCGGGCATTAGCTGCCAAAGACCAGCAGATGAAATTTAAATGTAACTTGTTAAACTAATAATTAACAGCATGGTGTGAGCAGCTTTAGCGCCTGGGGTGGATCAGCCACAGGATATGGAGTACACTGTAAGTGTGCATGTAGACTTCTGAAATCTGGGGGAATCCATCTTGCTTTTACACATGATCACTTACATAAACAATGCTCTGAAAAAAGCTGCTTGTTAAAGCAAAATGGCTGCTGTCCCTCCTAGATCTGTCATGTTTGTTGTTTTCTGGCATAGCCAAGACTTTTTATTGAAATAAGTGTCTTGATGTCTCCAAGTCACTGATTTAAATAAAAACTAGATCTTAGTTTGTACCAAGCTAAGCGTCCAGCGTGTATTGTTTTTCAGTCCGTGCCACCAAGGGTTTCAGAAGGCATAACAATGGCCAATTAAAAATAAAAACATTTCAATAGTCAAATAGTTTCTAAATGCTTTCCCCTAATACACATTGCTCTGTATCTATTATATTGCACAATATTTTAAAGTTATGGTTAGTGTTAGGGTGGTTGGCTTAAATTATAGTGATGGTGGACCTTTGGAGCAGCACTTGTAATTGGACAGATTAGTGAGTTATTGTCCCAAGCAGCAGCTATCCCAGCCGCCGCCAAGGAGTGTTTCTCCCGCAATCTCAGACATGTTCCGTGTGTCTCCCATCTCTGCACGATACTAGGGCACATAGTGATCCATGTATTATTTTTCATTCACTATGTGGATAATTGCACACAGGATGGTAGAATCCATGCAATACAGGGTTCTAAAATATGATCTGAGCATTGAACTAACTGGAAGATTATAAAATACAGGGCTTACAATTTTAAGTCCTATGCCATTCGCCAGACCTTAATTAATAGTTGCACACCACTGCAAGCCACAGGATACTCACCAGGGGTGAATGTCTAGCCGCCGAGGCTAGGGGTGAGTGGATGGTTTAAGCCCTGATGTAAAATAAGTGTGTGTGTGTGTGTATATATATATATATATATATATATATATATATATATATATATATATATATATATATATATATATATATATATATATGTATATGTATATACCCCAATAACACACATTTTTGGTGAATATCCTCAAAAGCAGATCACCTCCACCCCCACCCCACCCCCCCCGTCTGTTTTTGTAAATGCTTTGTGTTGTGGCTCCTGATGGCCCAACATGGGATATTTGTGATCGCCGTAAATAAACTTTTATCTAATTTGATTCTATATTGTTCTCTGTGTCTGAATTGTTTGTTTTTTCCTGAGCACTCTAGTTTAAAAAAAAAAAAAAAAGGAAAATGATCCATTTCCTAATGTTTAGTAGTAGAGTTTAATGATTTTTGTGCCATAAAGACATGTTGGGTAGTAATCCTGTATCTGCAGATGTCACAGGTAAAGGAATACTTGAGTGAATGCCCAAGATGGCTCTTAGTACCGGCCCTGAAGTGCCAATATCCTGCTGGTTGGTAAATCTCTCTGGTTTCAGTTTTCGAGTGACTGTGCGTTCTGGCTTCTGGCTGGTTCTACTTTGTGCAGAGGGGCATCTGGCCAGGCAAGTGTAAGTTTTTCTCCTGAACAGTTTTGAGTCTAAGCTTGTCCCCAGCCAGTTCTCTGTCCAGGTTTTTTTTTTGGTCATCGTTGCTTTGATCATTTGTGAAAAGGTTTCTGGTTGTTTTTCCCAACTTGTCTTGAATGATGGAAACTTTGGTTGTCATAACATTTCTGGCCAATAATAAGTTAGTTTAGTCATCCACCATGCATCAGTGAGAGGAGCTCTGGTTGGTTTTCCTTACTAGTCATGAACGAAGGGATTGGTGGTTGGTTCTGCCAACCAGTCTTGAGTTAAGGGCTCTGTGTTTGATTTTCCAACCACATTTAATTTGCCATGGGTTGGGACATATCCAGAGATCCCTTACAATTGGTTGGGGAAAAAACACTTGTTGGTGAGGATTTCTTAATTAGTTTCTCCAGACCAGGCAAAGAGTCTAATTTGCTCCCTTGACTAGTCTTATACCAGGAAGTCTGTTCCCCAGATAAGTCTCCGGCTAGTATCAGCACACATACCCTATATGCTGGCTGCTCCACGCAAACACAAACTGATGGAAACTTAGGTTGTAATAACATTTCTGGCCAATAATAAGTTAGTTTTAGTCATCCACCATACATCACTCTATACACTGACTGCTCCACGCAAACACATCCTTACTTTATACACTGACTGCTCCACGCAAACACATCCTTACTGTATACGCTGACTGCTCCACGCAAACACCCCCACTCTATACACTGACTGCTCCTGAAACACCCCACTCCTATACACTGGCTGCTCCCGCAAACACCCCCCCCCTCACTCTATACGCAGCTGCTCTACCAACACCCCCCACTCTATACACTGGCCTCCACACCAACACCCCAGCTCTATACACTGACTGCTCCCACACCAACACACCCCAGCTCTATACACTGGCTACTCCACCAACACCACCCGCTCTATACACTGACTGCTCCACACCAACACCCCAGCTCTATACACGCTGCTCCCACACCAACACCCCATCTATACACTGACTGCTCCACCAACACCCCGCTCTATACACTGACTGCTCCCCTGCCCACCCCCACTCTATCGCTGACTGCTCCATAAACACCCCCACTCTATACACTGAGCTGCTTCCGCCAACACCCCCACTCTATACACTGACTGCTCACACCAACACCCCCTACTCCTATACACTGACTGCTCCTGCAACACCCCCATCTATAAGCGAGCTGCTCCACACCAACACCCCCACTCTATACGCTGACTGCTCCACGCAAACACCCCCCCACTCTATACACTGACTGCTTCACGCCAACACCCCCCCACTCTATACATTGACTGCTCCACGCAAACACCACCCCACTCTGTACGCTGACTGCTCCACACCAACACCCCCGCTCTATAAACTGACTGCTCCACACCAACACCCCCTACCTGTACGCTGACTGCTCCACGCAAACATCCCCCCAACTCTATACACTGACTGCTTCACGCCAACATCCCCCCCACTCTATACACTGACTGCTTCACGCCAACATCCCCCCACACTTTATACGCTGACTGCTCCATGCCAACACCTCCCCACTCTATACATTGACTGCTCCAAGCCAACACCCCCTGCCCACTTTATACGCTGACTGCTCAATGATAAAAAAAAACACACCCCTACTCTATATGCTGACTGCTCCACACCAACTCACCCGTATTGTGCAACTTATTTTAGTTTTTTTTATTTGTTTTTTGTTTGCTCTCCCCTAAAATTTAGTACTAACATCTGCTTTAAAAAAAAAAAGGCTTCTCCCATGCCGACTTCCTCAACTGATTGGAACATTTAATCGTCTCGGAGTGCATGAACTCTGTTATGAAGGACAAGGGGAGTGAGGAAGTGGAATCGGGAGGGGACTTAAAGAAAATAAAAATAATTATATCAGCAATGGAAGGAAGCGGGAGGAACTCTGCCTGCAAGGGAGAAGCTATTTACATCTGGCGACAGATGTGTGCTTTGCACAGAATTTATATTAGGCAGTGCTGATCAGTTTGCGGTTGTCTAAGTCACGTGTGCCAGGGGTGTAACTAGCACCCAGCACAAAAGTTCTTATATATCTAGATGAAACGCTGCACATCCAGACTCCTACAATCGTCACCACATCAGATCACCGAAGTGGTTGTGGTGGTTGGAGTAACCCTTTAATACGCTTTATTATATAAATGATTATTTAGACTTTTAGATCTTTTTTTTTTTTTTTATTATTATTATAAACTAGAATTAAATCGTGTAATTCTCTCTCTGAAAAATATTGACTGCCACTAA